TTGTTCAACTAAATGGATCTTAAAGAGTAAAATTTCATCCAGGAGTCATCCATTTCCAGAAAATTATTAAAAATGGATTAATGATTCGAGGAAGCTTTCAACTTCTGTTTTTTCGCAATAGTTTTGAAAGAGCTTGTAAAATTATTTCCAACAAAATTTCAAAGAGAAACAGAAACTTTCTAAAAGTATGAAACTAAAGAATTTATTTGAAATCAATCAAAAATCTATGTGCATGACTTAGTAAGAATCTTGTTTGAAATCAATTGATTCAAAAAGGATGAAATTAATTATGTTGATTTAATTTTATCACAAATCCAAATACTGTACAGGTAAATGGACTGAAAGGAAGAAAATAAATCAGAAAAATATTATTATAATCATAAATAAATTTATATTGCTTTGAAAACATAATTCAATGATCCATAAATCTTTTCCTGAAAATTTAGCTTCAACTCATAACTTTTGTTCTCTTCTATTATTCTCTTGAATTTCCTTAATTAAAATAACTTACACAATCGAAAATTTCTCCCAAATATTGGCTTTCGTTGAATGTGTAATAAGAACAGCGATTAAATTGGAGTACCTAATTTACATTTCAACCGAAAATTATTTAAATATTGTCAAACCACATTGCATTTTTAGTTACTTTTGAATAACTGCTGAAACGAAACGTGAACGTAATTTTTAATAATGGCTTTGATTCTAAGGAAATGTGTTGAAATATTTAATTTCTACGTCATAGAAAAGAAAGGTTTGAAAAGTTGGAAGGAATTTATTTTCATTTATTAGTGTCACTTTTTATCATCAGACAAAAGATCAGATGAACTCTTTTTTGGCAAATCGCCAATTCCATTGGCTTTAGTTTTGAGTGGATATCTTTTGTTGATTAAATATGGACCGAAATTAATGGAATCGAGAAAAGCTTTTGAATTGAAATATATTCTTATTGTCTACAATTTCATTCAAGTCGTCTTAAATACTCTCCTTGGTGTTTACGTAAGCATTAAATTCCACTATTGAACTTTGACCTCAATTTAATTTAATTTAAGGGCTGCTATCACGTATTTCTTATGAACGACTTTGACTTTAATTGTCAGCCGGTTGATTATTCAACAACATCAAAAGGTTTTCGTGAACTTGAACTGACGAATTACTATTTTCTCCTCAAACTTCTTGATCTTTTGGATACTGTAATTAAACTCAATTGGATAACTTTACAGCCGCTCTTCAATATTTCATTTTCAGCTATTTATTGTATTAAGAAAGAAAAACACTCACTTATCATTCCTTCACTGTTATCATCATTTCTTTATGGGCCTTGGGATGAACATAGGATTGAGATACATCGCAGGTAATTTTCATAATTGTTTTCATAACATCACATGGATAATCGATATTCATTTTGAATCTAGGTGGACACGCAATATTTTTGGGTTTAATCAATTGTTTTGTACATAGTTTCATGTACTTTTATTATTTCATGACAGCATTTAAAGTCGAATTGAAGAAATCAATTTGGTGGAAGAAACATATCACGCAAATTCAATTGGTATCATTATGAATATTTGTTTTTAATGAACTTTTGAAATATTTATTTAATTTCTTTTCATAGTTTCAATTCGCTTTACTATTTGTTCACTTTTTACGTGGAGCATTAGCGAGCAACTGTAGCTATCCTAAGTTCTGGCTTTGGGTTTTGGTCATTCAAAACATATTTATGTTCTCAATGTTTGCTGACTTTTATTTCAAAGCCTACATGAAGAAGAAAAGCAAAGACTGATACAATCAAATAACCCATTCGATTGTAAATTATTCACATTGAAATTGAACAAAAAATAAAAATCCATGAGTGAATAATAAGGGTCAGAGTCATGTTTGAAATGTAGAATTTTTCAAGAAATTTACGTTTCTTGAATGAATGAAAAAATGAACACAATTTGCGCCAAGTCGTTCCAACTTTTTCTTTATTTCCTTGTGTTATTCAAGGTCGAGATATTCGAAGCTCCAAAATTTGTGAGTGTGGGTGCATCAGAATATTTATCGATACAAATCTTGTTAGGTAATCAATGATATGATGTGTCCCATGAGTATTAATTAATTGAATTTCTGATAACAATCACATAACATTTGTTATGCTTCCTAATGACAACATTTCAAATTATTATTTTCACTCGATATTTTCCACTTCTATTAGGTATGTCAACTAAAATCTACGAAGCTATTAAAGTCCACTACTGAATTAATAATTTATTTTAATTTATTTCTCAAAGAGAACACAAATATATGTTTAAAATTCACTGACACATAAAGGAACAAAAAATTTACATTTTTTACAAAATTTTGTTTTTGGGAGGTTATTTAAAAAATAAGGAAGTTAACAATTTTAAGCAATGTAATCAGTGTGAGAAGAGTCGTCAAGAAAGAAAAACCTTTTAAAAATTTTCTTTGCAATTTAAAGGAGACATGGCAGTGGTTATTGAGTCAATTTATGATTTTTATAATCATGTTTTCACAACATTGCGAGGTTTAAACTTTGTGAGGTGTCGGGGTTAAAAATTATAATGCGAAATTTTAAATTTTAGATCCAAGATCAGATGAACTGTTTATAATAAGAGGCTCCCCTCTTGGTATTGTCCTAGTTCTAAGTGCTTACTGTGCTTTATGCAAATTCGGACCAATGTTAATGGCCAATAAGAAACCGATTCACTTACATTACACAATGATCATCTACAATTTCCTTCAAGTGGGTTTAAATCTATATCTTGGAGTCACTGTAATAAAAATAATTCAACATCATAGCAAACGACAAATTCCAATTAAACATATTTTTGTTTTAGTTATTTTATGTGTTATTCTTGAAGCATAAATTTAATTTTCGATGTCAAGAAGTGGATTACAGTTTTTCAGAACGTGGAATTACCGAATATCAAGGGACTTATGCCTACTTTTTGTTGAAGATTTTCGACTTTTGTGACACGGTAATTAAAAGGATTTTATCATTTGAAAATTATATTTAATTAATTATCTCTTATTTAGGTATTTATAATATTGAAGAAGAAATCTTCACAACTTTCATTTCTTCATTGTTATCATCATTTTGGAATTTGTTTAGCATCGTACATAGCATCAAAATGGGTTGCAGGTTTGATTGAAAATAGAAGTTAAAACTTAAATTTTTATTAATATTTTCTCCTTCAGGTGGTCCCGGTGCAGTCTTGGCGGTCATCAACATATTTGTACATGTCATCATGTACTTTTATTATTTCATCACAGCATTCAAGCCTGAATTAAAAAAATCAATTTGGTGGAAAAAATATATAACGCAACTGCAAATAATTCAATTTGCAGTTGTTGCTTCTTATTTCTTCCAATTTAATTTACAAAAAAATTGCAATTATCCTTTTGTCTTAACGTGGGTGATGTTCATTCAAAATTTGTTCATGTTTATCCTTTTTAGTGATTTCTATCGGAAAACATACTTAAGGAAGAAATCACAATAAAATTAAAAGAAGTGAAAGAAATTTTGACAACGATTGAATTAATCTACTTAAGTTACTTTCTGAGAATAAAATAGAATTTTGTCCTATTGCAATTTTTTTTCTTTTTGAATACAATAAAAAAATCTCTCAGTTATGAAATATGGCCTCATGAAAGATAAATGATAACTTGTCTTGTACTTAAATATATCATTATGATTTATTCAACTATTTTCGCAGGAATTATGTAAGTTGTCATTTAAGCACAGAAGTTTGAGATAACTGATGAAACATTTAAAGCTATCTTTGAATGTCTTTAGCGGAATATTTCATGTTCTTAAAAATATTACCTTGGCAAAGATCAAAACCTTTAAAATTAGCTATTGATTAAAATAAATAAAAAAATATTTTCAAAAATATCTCCCGAGAATAATCCTGCAGAAATAACCTGGCCCAGACATAAACGGAAGTTATTTATATTTTTATTAAGTTGTCAGAAGCTGCAGAAAAGAATTCAAAGGTGAAGACGCCAACACAGTTTTATATTTGGAGATGTTTCTAAGCACAATTCTGTATTTAATCATATTATATTTTTATTTTGTTATTCTTTGAATCTTTTGTGTGCAAAAATATTTCCTAAAAATTTTTTTTATTAAATCGATGTTTGAAATGAATTTTATTCAAGTAAAGATTATAAAAAATGTTTTTTAAAGCTTCACATTTTAATAGTTTTAATTCACTTTTATCAAAATTTTTGTTATGATTTCATTTCATATAAACACTGATTTATGAAACTGTTTAATTTTGTTCGTTAACAAACTTTTTACATTCTTTCATGGTGAAAGATAATGCAATGAAAGTCAGTAAAATAATTTGGATATATAAATACAAATTTAAAATAAAAGTTCAAAGTTGATGAGTAATAATTAAGTAAAATTAATTTCTTCTTCATGATAATTTGCACACTGGTCTTTTAAATGCTTTATTTGCAAATGAACTTGAGCTTATTAATAATACTTTGTGAGTTTTCGAATTCTATTATGATTGAGCAATAAATATAAATGTTTGAATTGTCATCAATTTATAAAGTCTCGCAACTTTCTACCAACAAGTTCAATGATAAATGGCGTTAGTTCTGAAAAATTTATACAGCTTTTACAGCTATTACTTCCACGAATATGAAGGTAATTTCCATGTCTCAATTCAAATAGCAAAAGCTTTTAAAGAAAATTATTCAACCTTCTTTGCAGATAATCGCGTAAAAGGTCTTTTCTTATTACAATCACCGCTACCAATAACAGCAATTTTGGCTGTTTATCTTTACTTTGTAAATGGAAAGGGACAAATGTGGATGAAGGATCGAAAAGCTTTTAAGTTGAATACAATCCTTTATGCTTATAATGCTACACAAGTGTTGCTTAATCTTTATATGGGATTACGAGTAGGATGAAACTTTCGAAATTAACTGACAAATTTACTTATTGAGTGACATTTTTAAAGTTTATATCGTACATCACAAAATTTGAGAACCTTTTCTGTATTCCACCACCATGGAACGATTTTTCAAAAACTGCACTTGAACTTCGTGACATGTCGCATTACTACTATCTGGTTAAAGTTCTTGATCTTTTAGATACGGTAACAAATTGCCTTGATGATTGACATTGTTGAACAATTTTAAATAATTTTTCTCCACAGGTTTTCTTCATCTTACGGAAGAAAAACAATCAAGTGACATTTCTTCATATTTATCATCATGTGATAATGGCTATAGGTTGTTATTGGTACATAAAATTCTTTTCCGGAGGTGGTCATGCATACAGTTTAGGTAATTAAAACTTTATGTACGTCAAATGAAATTTCGATATTTCATAATTTTTTTTCTAGGTTTAATTAACTCATTTGTGCATGCCATCATGTATGGTTATTACTTACTAACATCGTTGAAACCTGAAATAAAAGAATCAATTTGGTGGAAAAAATACATCACTCAACTTCAAATGGTGCAATTTACAATTCTGATAATTCACTTTGGAGTTCCCATCTTCACCAACTGTTCCTTCCCGAAAGGCTTATTAATTGGCGTTGTAATACAAAATTTATTCATGTTATTCTTATTTGGTGATTTTTACTACAAAGCTTACGTCAAGAAGAAGACATAAGATTATGACCAATTTTATTTTGTCATAGCAATGAATGGAAAAGCGAAGAAAATTTGGAAATATTTAAAAGGATGGAATATTTGTTTCTTTTTGGATGAGTTTTAATATTCAAATCACTTACTAAGTTGCTAATTTTCTTGTTTACATTTTAATTGGAAAACTCTTTTAATATTAAAATTATGTAATTATGTTTTCATTAGAAAATTTATGCTTAGTGTGATTTGTTAATTTCCTTTTTGTTTTATTTTACATTCAGTTAGCTTTTCGAAGCATTTTACAAAACAATCCAAATTGAAACTCGTTACAAGCAAGCAATTATTACTTAATTAGTCCCAGTTTGAAGTTTCTTTTTGAACCTGGAAGCCAATGTCTGTCACTCTAACTAAAGAAAGAAACTGACGTAATTTCAGTTATTGTGGAAATTTCCATATGAATTCTTAATTTTTAATTTGAATTATTTATATATTTTCAAGTTTCAATCAATTAAACAGTTAAATTAAATTAGTTGAAGTAAAACCACGAGCGCATTAACATGGCTTTGGTACTGAAATCAACGTACTTATTTATTGAAAAGTATTCTTCGGTCGATATCGGTGAGAGTTTTGATGTTTAAATTTAAAATAAACACTCAATGTTCACACAGATTCTAGAATCGAACATCTTCCATTTATGAAAAACCATTGGACATTGATTGGACTTCTAGCAGCATATCTTTACTTTGTAAACAACATAGGAAGGAAGTTGATGGAAAACAGGAAGCCTTTTCAGTTGAAAACTGTCATGAACATTTACAATCTGTTCCAGATTTTCATTAATGGCTACATGATGTCAACGGTGAAGAAATTTGTATTTTTTTACTTCAATATGAATTATTGATTGTAGAATTTATTTCTTAGGTTATTCGTCATGTTCTGAATGTGAAAAACTTTGATATTTTATGTTTTCCCGATGCTAAACTAGACAACTCTGTGGCTGGAGGAAAAATTCTTTTCGGTCATTACCTTTACTTTATCGTCAAAGTTTCTGATCTTCTTGACACGGTAGAAATGAAACTTTTTCTATGTTTGCGGGCAATTATGCTAATTTTTTGTTTCAGGTGTTTTTCATTTTACGGAAGAAGAACAACCAGGCAACGTTTCTTCATATTTATCATCACACTTTGATGATAGCATTCACTTACTTCACCTTGAAATATGTTGCTGGCGCAGGACAAATGATTAGCATCGGTAGCTAGGAAAACGATTTTATGTGTAGGTTTAATCTTCCATGTCTCCTTTATCAATAGGTTTTATCAATTCCATTGTGCATGTTGTCATGTATGGGTATTATTTTCTTACATCATACAAACCAGAGTTGAAACATTCAATATGGTGGAAAAAGCATATAACTCAATTACAGCTTCTGCAGTTCATGATTTTAACTGTGCACTTAGCCGCTCCACTTTTTGTAACATGTTATTATCCGAAACCGGTCTTAATCGTAGGAGTTTTACAAAACTTTTTCATGATGAGTTTGTTTTTGGATTTTTATTACAAGACTTACATACATAAAAAAGGAACAATAAAAGCTACAAGCTTGACGTGAATGAGAAGAATAACTTTTTATGGTTTGTTTCATTTCGCATCTATTTTGATTTTATTTTTATTCATTTTTTTAAAGTTTGTCTTTTCCTAATGGAAATTCTTTATTTCTCTTTCATGTTCATTAAAAATACATTTAATATTGTGATAATACTAACAACATCAAGAAGAGAAAAATCTCTACCTTGCTTAGTTTCATTATTTGCTATAGCTGATTAAATGTTTGTCCATCATAAATAACCTTTTTGGTATTAAATTATGGAAAAAGAAATTCGAGGGAGATCTTATATCGATTATTCATCAAATGTTTCAGTTTTTGCTCATCTTTGCTTGGATAGTTGTAAATGTGTTGTTTATATTATATCCATTAGGAGTTAAAATAAAAGGATATAAAAAAATAAGTAAGAAATATCGTTTTAAATGCGGGGAAGTAAGTGATACTTTATTTTTATTTAATGCAATACTTTAATGACTAAAATCGTTTCTTAAATACCGTTGTGCTGAAAATAATGAAAAAAGCTCATAACAAGCTTTCTTGCCTTGCTTAAATTCAATAAATCATCAGGTGATAAATTTAAGGATCTTTCATTAAAATGTCATTTAAGTAGGACTTTTCATATTTGTGGTTAGGGCAATGTTTAACGACTTGGATGTATTAGAGATTTCCTTATGAAAAAAAGCTTTGAATAACATAAATTTAGGAAACATAAACCACGAAATTTAATTAATATACTTGTAGAAAATATTCTTGCCAAAGCAGTCAAGGATGATTTGTGTAAGGCATTTGTCGTGAGCAATTTGACTTTCTTAATGTACAGATTAAATTTAATTCTAGTTATTAATGCTGGGCTTATTAAGAAGCTTTGCTTGTGTCGTGATGTATGAATATTATGATGCGATGTCGCATAAACCTGACCCGAAAAACATTGTTGCTGTGGAAATGTGTTCACAAACATGTATAAATATAAATATTTATACACAGTTGACAGAAAAAGTTTAGGAAGTTCTTCTTATTTACGTTTTATTATAGAAATTGATATAGCTGATGTTCAAGGCTGAAAAATAATTCAATAGACCAAATAAAAGCTGTAAAGGCGATGATTTTCTTTTCAGATTTCCACTGTTCGAAAAGTATCAGGCGGAAAGTTTTGATCTCAAGTATCTATAGAAACGCACGCTCCATTTTCGAATTGCTGAAAGCAAATAAAATATTTGTCATGTTTTGACTTCGAATTTTTATTGATAAAATTCTCAATTTAATTGCAAACATTCTCTTGTTAGTGTCTAATGCAATAATTATATTTATTTTTTTGTTTTAATATGAAATGTTAATGTGGATAATGAGGATTTATATTTTTAACTATAATTTTCAAAAACGAAACTTTAGCAAAGAAATTGTCGTCGTTGCTAAACTTTTCCCGATCAACAGATCGAGAAGGGAAAATAGAAAATATTTAGGAAGCACTTCAAAAAGCCTTCAATATTGTTTCTTTGTCTTCTGAAGATATAGTTAATTCACATCATCATTATCTTCATTAAATAACATAATCATTACATACGCATTCACTTTCATTGAATTACAGATCTCAAATCATACAAAAATAATTAATTTTCCTTCTTCTTGATTATTTATTTTCCTTGCTTTGACCTTCCTTTAAGCTATACACACAGACGAATTTCTCATGCTTTAACGATTTTGCTAACAAACTTTCAAAGAAATGATGTGTGCTACGTGCAGCATTTTGAAGGATTTATGTAACGAGAGATGTCCTATTAGAGAAGGTTTACTGAGTGTTCAAGGATAATATATAATGAATGTGTATGCATGTGAAAAAGGATTTCCATCACAATCACATAAAGAATATTCTCACATATGACTCTCTCTAAAATTATAGAAAAATTTTAGTGTAAGATTTGTTCATGTGCATAAGTTGAACAACACAAATACATCATCCATGAACACCTCAGTCCATTAAAGCTTCCAAAGTTAGTAGTGACATAGCTTTTGAAAATTATTGAAGGCTTTTAGGGTTTCATAAGAGCATATTGTGGAAATTTTCGAGGAGTTTTAATGTAGAATTTTAGTAAATTTTATCGGTAGAAAAAGGTATGCTAATCAATTAAATTCTTCATCATTTTCTTTTGTTTCGAAATCAACAGCAAAGTAACAAACTTTACTATGATTTCTGATCACTATGTTAAGTATAATATCATGTCGTTTTAAGAAATCTCTTGTCAAAATTAAGTCATTAATTATCTGCTGAATGATTTGAATTTGATTCATTAATGATTTTAGTAAAGATATCAAAATGATTATGATACAGAGTTAGAATAATATTTTGGTTTGATTATCTCTAGAGATTATATTAATTATTTTTATGATGCTGTACAAAATTTAGTTCACTACTCTCATTCATCCTATCGAGCTTCTTCCTCACCTTCTGAAGAGCTTCTTATTGTGTTGTATTGGGAGCTACGTGATTTCAACATTCGAAGAAAACTGCCGACAGCAAAAATTGTTCTGCGATGACGATGAAATATTCCTTGATAAAGTGCATCACGAAGAGCTTTTCTATCGTCAACAACTTCAACTTGAGATGTGAGTGAAGTCTGATGTGGAACAGAACGATTTCGACCTAGATTAAAAGATTCTTTTTATTAAGTAATGTTTTTCTAACATAAATCAATCTTACACGTTCGAGGAGATGTCGGTGACTTGAAAGAAAGATCTTCATTCATTTCAGGTGAACCAGTGTCGATAGATTTTATTTCATTATTATTGTGAGTCAACTCAAGCTTAAGACTTTTTTTCACCAACATTTGGCTGTTAAGAAGCGACAACGAATCGTCACTACTTGGCGACATTTTTGTCTCCTTGGCTTCTTCATTAATCGATGTTGTTGCAAGAGCTTTATCACAGGTGGCCGCTTCTTCATTTGGCTGCGGATGTAAAGTAATTGTTACAGTTGTAGCATTCTGTTCAATTGGTTCGAACGTTTCAGTCACTGTTGTCTCATTCATCTTCATTACCATTGTAAGTAGTGACAGATGCGGAAAGAAATAATAAAAATTATTTCGATTGACAGAATTGGCACACGGATTATTTTAGCTACACTTTCAATAAACGTTAAAAGCTTTCCAAAGCTTAATTGTTTTTATTTTTTTCACTAAAGCTTTGTTTTATTTTTGAATTATTTATTTAAGCTCTTTTTTTATTTCGTTTCTCTTCAAATATGTTCACATAAACTGTTTGCAATCTCACTCGATTTAAGGCGGTCTTGCTTCACTAGAATAATAGTTTTCAAGAGGGACTGTCAAGCAGTTTTTGTCGGTAGATGTGCTTTCAACACTGCAACTTCTACCGATATCACCCTGTTTTGATTGATTGGTCGAGTGGTCACTCAGAATTATTTTTGGCGGATCTTTTAATTGATTTGTGCTTTCAGTGCTGTTGTTGTTTGTGTCATTACAGCTCATACTTTGATGACTACAATTTTGGGGTGGAAAAATTGCGGTTTGTCGATGAGTAAAAAGATTTTCTAACGAAAATGCTTCAATTTCACGATGCTGTGAATCTAAATGAATGCTTAATTTGTTAATTTGATTTGCGAGAGACAAGTCATTGATTTTTCTCGCTTTAAATGAACGCTTTCCAGTATAACCTGATGGCGATCTGATTGTTTGTCGTTCAGCAATATCAGCACGACGATTGCAATCATTGAGATTATCTAAATAAATGTTTATACACTTATCGTAGCACTCTGATGCTAAACTAACAAAATCTTCAATAGAATGTTTATCATTCAAACTTTTATTTGCATGCAATGTTGTCGTCTCAATCGATGATGTTGTCCGATGTTGATGTTCAGATGCTTGTCGATTGTTATTCAATCGATAAAGATCCTTCGTGCAGAGACACGTTTCGCTTGGAAATTGCTTCAAGGGATTTAAAACGTTTTTAACGTCGTAGTAGGGTTCAATAAGGGATTTTGCGCTGTGAAGATTCTCTTGATTATATCGTAATTGTTCGCTGAAAAGCTTCTCAAATTCCAACACGGTTTGAGCTGATTTAATTTGTAGAAGCTGCTCGTTAAGCACTTCGTTGTTGTTGAAATATTTACAAAGCGTTTGTCGACCACGAAACGGAAATGGTTCGCCAAGTCTATTTGAACGTTGAATATTGAAAAAAAAAGGATGAAAAAGTTAATTAGTAAAAACAAAGTTTGAATAAATTTATCGTGGTTAATTTTTTAGGAGTTGATTTTTAAGGTCAGTTAAGCACCTGGGAAAGGAAAAGCTTGGAATAGTCAGTGGCTGTCGATCACTGTAATAATTCTTAAAAGGTTTCGGACGTTTTAAAATTCTTCGCTTATGTGGATGTTCCACTTCGATGGGACATTTTTTCTTTCTCAATTGATTTTCACTCTTAGAACTTTGTTCTGGAAATTTTCCACTCGAAGGTTTAAACATTTTCCCTTCCAAAACCAATTTCTCGTCATAACTATTTCTTTTACACAATTTCCGATCAACAAATTTAATTGATTGTCCATTGATGTGTAATGCTTCCATCACCCACAAGAATCGACTGACAAGAGACTCAAAAAATAGAAAAAAAGTGAAGGAAATGAAAACTTCTGATTCTAAAAGCTGAATCTAATGGAATGAAATGGGAACCCAAGCGGAAATCATAGAACTGCTGGTGGCATGTTGTGCTAGTAATGTTTATAAAATAAGCGAGCAAAAGGTTTGATTAACGAACGGAAAATTTATTGCGTTGCTTTAACATGAGTCGCGTCTTTTGTCAAGTGAAAGGAATTTATATTTTCCAATACATGGAGCTCAACGACATTGTCGTACAAGGCAAAACTTATTTGAGAACCAAGAATAATCCTTTCTTCTTGTTTATGCGAGACTTTTGCCATTACGTTTCACAACCACCCTCAACATTTTTTGTTTCGGTAGAAATGTCTCGTAAAACTGAAAGTTACATCATAACGTAACAAAGCGGAATCCATATCTGGATTTAGGAAAATTTTCTTTAAGTTTATGGGAATTCATTTTACATTGTTCTACCCTGCAATGATTTTAAGAATGTTGTCATAAATTCTGTTTGACTTTTCATGTCTTTTGACAATTCTTTGTCATTGATTTAAGCTTTGGATATCCATCAAAAATTTATTTCTCTTGATTATCAACTGGCACGCTTTAACTATTTTCTCATAGTTTTTGTGTTTGACTAGATAAAGGCTTATGCTTTGCTTCATCAGGTACATGAATAAACGTAAATATATGCGCATTAAATCATCGATAGCTTGAATAGATTTTCACATCTTTTCTTCGTCAATAACCTTTACGTTGTATGTTATCCCTGAGGTTGTTTAAAGAGAGAAAGATTCTTTTTTCCGATCGTTTGAGGCGACATCAAAGTCAAACACAAAATTGACACGAAATGTTATCATTTACGTAGTTTATCTTGTAAAGTAGAGCAAAGATGTGAACGTAAACATCGAGGCTTGTTTATTGACAAATCACCAAAGTTAAAAGAGAAATAAATAGAAATTTCTCAATAAGATTAACGATTTAAAGAGATATTTCATCAAAGACATAAGAAAAGTCTCGCGATTTTCTTCCAATATTGATTTTATTCTTGACGTCCTTTGGTAAATAAAAAAAGCGAAACAAAAGGAAGATGGAAAACAAGATGAGACAGAATGTCGAGGATATAAGAACACAAACACACGGAGCCATTTCACACACAATTGTTTCATAAATGCAAAAGAACTTTTACTGTCTGGAGGGTAAAGTGACAAAGAGTCTTCAATCTTCATCAATTTTCGATTGACGAAAGAACTTGGAAAGACAATTTCGTAATGAAATTCACTATCTTGAAGATACGAAGCACGCACGAAACTGAAACTCTGCGATGAAAATAAATTCATTCAGATTGTCGGATTAATATTAAATGTGCCACAGCCAGAAAGTCGAATTGTGGGTAATCGTGAAATAATAAAGAGTGCAATAAACTTTCATCTCGATCCGCATGAAACTTGTATGATTTGATTTCTCTTCTGCCATGTTTGAAATCGTTGAAAGGAGGCTGGAAGGAAGATTGAGGTCGTGGTAAGCATTTGAAACACATAAAGTTCTTTCTTTCATTTTCCATGTTCATTCTTCCTTTTTTTTTTGTTACTTTTTCCACATCCTCAGTTCAACTCCCTCGATCCTCTTTCTTTTCTATTAACATGAATAAATCGAGGAAATAAAATATTTACAAGACAGTTAGTTAGATACACGTTTATACAACGATACCCAAACAATATTTTCCTTCCTGACTTGTCTTTGTATTTGAATTTGGAGCAAATTCTGCATCTGAATTATTCTTAAACAAGTTCAAACTCGAATGATTTTCTTTTTCTATGTTTTGATACGAAATAATCTCCAACTTTTTACTCAAAGCTTTCAAATGCATTTTTAACTGATAAGAAACAATAGAAGCATCTTCAAAGTTGATTACAAAGTTGATGAGGACTCGGATAATGTTTTATTCATCTTCTTTGTTATTTTAGCTTTCGTAAGACATGAAACGTATCTTTGTTTATGGAAAATCTGGCGAAATTCCGAATTCACGAGGTAAAAAATAAGGCGAACCTGCAAATTGCATTTAACTGAGTGGGTAGATGTAACGCTCACTTCTCGTTAGATTTATTCTCCAGTCAAACCAGAAGTAGTAAGAACAAACGAATGAATATTTTATTTCAAAGAAAAGCTAATGTTTCTCTCATTCGAGGGAAACAACATCAGATTGGATCTAAAAAACCATGTCAGAATTTCTAACATGAACCATTAGAAAAGCAGATATAACGATGGGTATTTGAACAGAACTTGACTTAATTTATTAACTTTTTAAGACAGTTTGAGAATGACCTTCATTTACTCATATAAAAAATTTAAAGCTCTTTCCACTTATTGAAAATATTTTCTTTCAACAAAACACGAAGGACATACTTTATTAACTTTCTTAACCTTCTTTGTCTTTGTTTTTACCAAGGGTTATTAATGAAAGAAGTTGTGTCTACAATGAAGGATACTTTTTTTTTTGTTTCAGGTTGTTCTGCAATTGTAATAACTGCTAACGACCCTTTTTTTCATGTTGAATTTCTACGTTAAAGATTCGTTGAAGATGCTGAGAGATTAATGTAAATATTGGTTCGATTTTTAATTTAAGATGATGTTTCTCCCTTTTTACATCATTTATCAACAATGATTGACATTGACGTCAGATTTAGAATAATTTAAAAGCAATGTTGAACATTTCAAGTGTCTAAAGTTTTCCCCATTTTTTAATGTTTGACAATTTCTCAACATGAAAAGAATAAAAGCTTAGGGTCGCTTTACTTTAATACTTTACGTAGGAATTTGAGTTTCCTTCAAGAGATGCGACTTTTCATTACTTTTTTCCATGAAAAATATGAAATTACGCAGTTGGTTGATAAATAAATATTTTCTTTAAAAGGATGACATGAGAATGTTTATGAAAAATTGTTGCTGAAGGGAGAAAAATTTGTCGTGATAAGGGCATGTACGGTAATCATATAACAACTGTGCATTGAAATGAAAAATTATTAAAAATGAGATTAGGAAAAATGTTTTTGAAAGTATTTTCAATGAATTTCGTGCCAGTAATTCTTTAATTTTTAAGCTCAATTCGAGGAAATAACGTGAATAGAATTTTAATCTCATTTAGAGCGAAAATAAAGGAATATTGAAACAGAATCTTCAAAATATTCGCTAAAAATGTGAATCATTAGACGAAACATCAAACCATCAGTAATTTTCAAAAGAAAAAAGGAAAATGAGGCTTAGATGGAATTTGTACTTCTTTTTCAAGATTATTTGATGTTACGTGTCCTACTTATGAGAAGAATTTTCGTCCATCTCAAATCAGGTTTTAAGAAAAATATCCGACATTATCCTAAATGCCATTCTGTTCAGTTATCACCATATGAAATGAGTGCCAAATGAACATTCTTCCTAACATTGTGCCATGCCAATCGATCAAAAGAATGTGAAAATAAAAATTCCGGATGAGAACAAAATTCCGATGATAGAATGACTTCGTACGTATTCTTCAATGTCATAAATAAACGACGGATATTATGGTTATGATGATGGCTTTGTACCATCAGGTGTTTGTCCCATTGTTTGCTTGTTTTCCTAACACGTCGTACAAGTCGTTGATACAACAAGAGGCAAAAAGCTAACAATGAAATAAAAACTTCCTTTCACTTCCCCTCTGACTCTTTATAAATAGCCATGACTGCCTGAGTTTTCCTCGACATTTCATGCTACTAATCTAACTCTCACGTGCTTTGAATTCACGCTCAGACTTTCTAATTGGATTATGAAAATTCGAGTCGCATTTCATTGCATCAAATAACATAACGGAGCTTGTTTTACTCGCAATGATTAGAAGTGCAGGCCGACTTCGTCATGCATTTCAAGGATTTCCTACAATTCAATTACAAGCATGAACGAGTATTGTTAGAATTGTTAACATTGATAAAAATAGAAGCAATCGCTTCTACTCTTTTTAGGTTCTTAACTCGATAAATATTATAAAGAGAAATCCCAAAGGGGTAATTTGTTCATTTCCATTTTAGAAAAGTTTAAAATTTAATGTTAAATTCAGAATAAATTGATTTTGCGTCTTAATGCTTTTGCCACCCCATTTTCACCCATAAACCGCTCCCTACTTAAGTCCTTTTATCTTTCACCACTCATTGAAACAGGTTGAGTGAAATCAGTTCAAGTGTTAAGAAGTTCTTTTTACACAAGAAAGCTCGTATCGTCTTCAACTAAAGAAATGCGAAGCTTGCCGTTTATTCCATCGATGTTTTCTAATGTAAGTTTTGTATAGAAAGGTAAAGTAGATAGCGTCAGTGTCAAGAAGCATTTCTTCCACTTCAACTTTTCTTTATAATAAAATTTGAGTTGCAATCAATTTTCTTTCCATCTTGATTTTCATTGTTGCTTTTAATCGTCATGTTGAAGATTTCTCTACGTTGAATGATTGTCAAAGTTCAAATTTAAAGATTTTTGTTTATTGTTTCAAGTGGAAAGCTTGACGTTAAGACGAAACTTTTTTCTTTTTGGAGAACTTAAAATCAAGGCAGAGAAATGCTTCGGGTTAAATCCTTGAGTGGTTTTAAAGCTTTTACTTTCATTCTCGATTCTAAAAATAGCCTTAATCACGACCCTGTTCATGAACTGAAACGTTAAACCTTCACCAAAATATTTCTCCAACTTCGACTCTTTCAACAATAAAGTTTTTTATTTTGTAAACTTCAGTTTCCGGCTTAATCGTTTTATGAATAAACATTGAATGTCCATTAATTATAAATGCACATTGTATGTATCATTTCATTTGTGATTAGCAGGAAAACAACAGAAGAATGATTTTAATAGAATGCCTAACCGCAATTTCTCTTTTAAGGGTCATGAAAAATTGTCTGGTTGGGTTTCATCATTCAGCAAACTTTTCAGTCAGTCGACGAGAAAATTTGGGATTATTTTTAGACAATAAGCAGCTCTCAAGAATGTTATTATCAAGACAATTTCTTCAATAATCGAAACTCGTTGAATAAATTTTGCTCTCGATTATCACTCGTTGACTGGTCACCAAGACAAATTCATACGTTTTTATTTGTATCAATGACAGAAGAATATCAAATAAAAAATATATTAACCTCCAGACATTTTTCGATGTGGAAAAAAGAACTTATCAATATTATTTTTCTGTATTTATACAGAAGTATTAAGTTTATTTTTTTGCATACGTTTACTTGAAGAACTTCATGGCGAACAAATTTATGTAAACGAGAAGTGCTGTTATTGTTCGAGTTTTTGTTATTCTTTTACTTATAATTTCATTGCTGACATCATCTTTGATTTCGGATTCGTTTCAGCTTTCAGAAGGATGATTGCTTTCTGAACAAACTTATTGGAATTCATGCTTCATGGAATTGCCTTAAGTCGCGAGTTTCTGTAATGGCGTCACTTGAAAGAAATTTCCCTTAAAAATTTCACGGTCGATGTCATAAGGTAAACATAAATTTTCAACCGCCAGCTAAAGCAAAAGTCTATCTTTTCTTTAATTGCGCGTTTCGTATTTCATGAATATGTATTAAAAAAATGTTACGATTTTTGATTAATTAAGAGAAAAAAGAATAAATTCTCTGGACTGGAATTTTTCCGTTTTCGGTAGAGTTGGCTATTAATAGCAAGTTTCAATTGCGACCGACCCAAACATCATCGTCAATAAAGTTTCTCGCATCGTAACAAATTATGGAGATATTTCGCTTCTCGCTGAGGCACATAAACAATTTGGCTAATGTGTAGGAAAATAACATAAATAATGTAATTAACAGTTTCTATAATTTTTTTTACTTTTAATTCAATTTGACGGCTCCAATCGACTGTGAGAAGCTGTCGGAAAATGATGTAGGTTAGCCTCCCGAAAACTTTCTTTCATTTGCTTATTTTTATATACATGATAGATTCGATGCTCTCTTCACCACCTCACTTTTAAATGATATCAAACAATAATTTGATGAATCTTCTTCCGCCTTCACAAAGCTACAATAAGATTGATACACTTATGTACATCAAACAGCAAATATGTAATCAATTAAGTTCGTTCGTGGGGATTCTAATGTTTCATTTCGTTTCGTTGAAGTTATTTATTTACGGATAATGAAAACTCTCGAGAGTCATGAGTCTTAAAAAAATATTTATTTGTCTCCTTTCATAACAAATAAACAAAGAATCGAGATTGTTATCATTATTTCAGTGTTTGATATTGGAAGCATTAACATTAACGTTAAAGATATCATTTCAATGAAATAATATTTTTCTACGTAATTAGTTTTGAATGAGAATTTTGTTTTCGGAAGCAATGATTAATGCCCGGCATAGAAAACAATTCGTTGAATTGTTTTCAGTACCAGAAAAGAGAAATTGTAGAGAATTTGGAGAAAAGCTATTTGTTATCGTCTTATAAGATTATAAAGATGTTACAGTCGAATGTTTTTGACAATTGTTTGGACTTGCGATTATCACGCGGCGTTTCCAATTGCCAGTTCCTTAATTTTATTACTCCCCGTGTCTATGTTGCTATCCAACCATCAAAATCACTGACAAACTAAATAAATATGATTGGATATCAATAATGAAATTCCTTTCTCCTGAAAATTAAGATTAATGGCAACATTCGAAAAAAGCGCTAAAAGCGAGGAAAATTTTCCATTATTTACTTTTTGACATTAATTTTATGTCGCTTGGAGTAGACACACTAATTTGTTTTTGATTGAAAAATTAAGATTTTCTCATTACCACAAATTGAAAATAAATTCTAATCAACTTTTGGAGCGAAAGAATTTTTATACACGCGCTAAAAAGCAAATTGAAAGAGACATTTCTTACTTATATTCATTCTATGCGCCCAGAATCAAATTAATTATGCGGCAACCTAAGGCCATTCATTTTTCACTGCCTCATAAACTTTCATCATTATCCTGCTTTTTGCATAGCGACATCGCTACTAAGAGTTCATTCACGAGATGCTCTGGTTTTGATCTTGCTTCATATTAAGTTATCAGAACAAGTGTTTCGTTTTTCATCTTGTAAATGAAGCGATAAAGAAAATTTCAAATAAATTGCATTGAAACTTTAATGTTTAACTACTAAGTAAGACATTTATGTCGAGAATCTCAATTACTGATAGTGCTTAACATTCCCTCATGTCAAATTTTAGAAGCTTAAATTTCAATTTTTCAAATTCTCAAAGGACACATATCAACATCATACACATGCATGAACATTTCGTGAAGAGCAGATAAATAGAAAACCCTGGGTTCATTGAAATCTCAAATGCGCGAGTCATGTTGAGTATGAGAAAGGGAGTTTTGGGGAAGAAATATAGAAGAGGGAAAAACTTTTGTGTGATTCTCGCTTGTTGATTCTTTCTACCATTATTTATTTAATTTTCTTCGGATCTTTCCATTGATTATTATTTTTTATTTGTATTATCAAAAGGCAATTTTGCCACTAACTTCCACAATTATTCTACTGTAAGACGTTCATTCTTCCATCGTGAAACTGAAATGTCGTTGCGGTTGTGTTGACGCAAGAGTCAAAAAAGTCAACAAAACACATCAATTAATAATACAGTGGAGAATTGCTCTCAAAAGAATAAATATTGTTTTATATAACTGTGCGTTCGACGACGCCGCAAGTCGTGTTCTTTTATTGAGTTCACATTTAAATGTTTTTCATTTTTATTCAATTTTTGTATGCTATGACGAAACATTTAATCAATTAATATGTATATGGTTTTTTTTTTGCAATCATCATCGATTAATTTAAATTCGATGTGTGAGGAGCATGGCGAAGAACTTCCTAGGAAGTGACTTGATTTCTTTTAAAAAATATCACGGATTACCTTGAATGGCTTTGGTTAAATCCACAGTTTATTTCAGTTATAAATCACTTAAACTGCTTCGCACTTTGTAGCTTTTAAAGCTTCCAACTTTTCTCCATTTGCAGTCCTTTCTTTCTTCTTTTCAATTTTAACATAGAACAAAAATATTCCAACCGAACTTATCACGAGAGAACGTAGAATGAAAATGAAAATAATTTGTTTACAAGTTTGTTGAAGAAAAAATAATTCGGCTGTTGCGCATTGCCAATGATTCTCTCGAAGTTTGAAAATGTGTTTCATTTACTCTCTCATTCGAAAAAATTGCGGGTATTTCGAAAATATTCCACCGAAATTCTCATGTGTTAAGTGAAAATGTCAATCTATTAATCATGTTTTCATTCCCAAAATATAATTTCAAATGATGCAACATTAACATTCGAGAATATTTAAAATTCTTTTTTTAAAATTCAACTAAATTTGCAAAATATCGGAAGTGAAACTTCAGATTTCATGAAAACATTAAAACACTTGTCAGTGATTTGAATGAAACTTGCAAGCTTTCAAAATGAAACTTTTGGAAGTCAAGTAATTTTACTTGATTAAAGAAAGCTTCCCTTTATGATCACAGCGCCATCTCTTGTAAATTATACATACTTCTGTTGTGAGCTTTTAAAGCTTTTTTCTGTAATTTTAAAAAGTCAAGAATGTAAAATTAAAACGAATTCATCTGTTAAGTACGACAATTTCACAAATATATTTCGGACATATCATTTTTACTTGACTTAGTTTCTAAATTATGTCATTTGTACATAAATTTGTTAGAGGCACAACGAATTAGATATTTTCTTTAAATTTCTTAAACTTAAACTCTTCTATCATAAATAGAATTTGGTCTGTTACTGACATTACTTTCAGAAAAGTCTGGTCTAAAGCTATGACGATTGGTGCTCGATGGTGGATCAGGAAGACGTTCGTCATCTGAGTCATCAATTCCATAAATGAAACTTACTCGATCTCGAGCCAACAAATGCACTGGCGTTTGATTTGCTGTGTATTCATACAACTTTTTAAGCTTAATATATAAGGAACATGCAAGAACAATGCCAAATATTTTTGTTACACAAATTCCGAGTCCAACTGACCCCAGAATTATGAGTTGTTCACGAATCTCGTCGGAAAACTGATAGATGCATCCCTGTAAGTAAATAAAGTCATTTCAAAATGTTTTGTGGGAACAAAATTCAATCACGAACCGTGTATGGAATATTTGACGGATTAATCGATTTCCCGCAGCCAAAAGTCATCGTCACACAACAACTATCAGGCACAACTCTTCCATCAATCTGTCGAATCAAATCTTTTCTCTTTGATTTCAACCACATACTCTGTTGATACTCTTCAAATCGAATTGCACCACAACACATATAGTTCTGTTGCATGAGATCAATTGCCTTCGTATGCCGTTCGTTAACTGCATAGTTTTGTGTAAATGTGTCACTTAGTGTCATGTTGAGTTCTTCGGGAACGTTTCTCTCATAAATGTACGCTAATGTGCCAGCTGAGAGCTCAAAAAGGAAGACTAAGATCAAGAGAACAATATACTGCAAAAAAAAGAAGAAGAACATTTCCACGTTAAGGCCTCACAATCAACACTCAATCAGACATCATTTCATTCTTCTATTGCTTTGCTGCTCGTTCAGTAAATTTCCTTTCCGAAAGAGATGAAATCTCAGAAATTCTATTGCCATCATTGGCATTGTCACGTTTTTCACTTTTCTTGCCTCTTTTTTTTTATTGAAAACACGATGTAGATATTTCAGATCAAAAGTTTTTTTTCTTAGTAACGCGACTAAACTTAAAAAAGAAGGAAAAGAATCATGAGAGAGAAATATAAGAAGCTTAATGGTGACAATAACTCTTGTTTTGTAATTTGTTTATCGTGTATCGCGGTTGAACTAAAATCAGCGGGTAATCAACATTTTCCTCGAACTCGTTGAATCAACTGAGTTTCTCTGGTACATTAGAAGCTTCCATGCTTATTTATTAATTAATTAATGACTCAATTCGAGTTTAAATTTCTTTCCTACTCTACCCCGCATTAGATCGTTTAAACTCTGGTTTATCGATTTTTAAAAATGATTCTGATGTTAATTAATGTTTTTTTGCTGACTGTAAAATAAATTTTCCTTATTTAAATGGTAAGAAATTTTTATTTCACATAATTTAATTACACTGAACAGTTTCTGGAGGAAAAAACAGCGACAGCAATTTAAAAATATTGAAAATTGAGGGCATTAAATTATTATTGCATAGTTATACTTACAATTAAAATGATTGAGAAACTTTCACGCTTCACACCACAGCAACCGATAATGGAGGCGAGAAGACCACCGATGCCTGCTAGGAGAAGCATATATGTGCAGAATTGGTAGTTTGGAGATGCAAGAAGGGCAACATATTGATGTTTATAAATCAAAGTCCATACGCTGAGACCTATAATGGCTGTGCTTGACATCTACAATGAATCAAAACAAAATTAAGATAAATAAACTTCGCTTTGCAGTAAACATTTACGATTTTTGTATTACGATAAATTTGTAGGTAAACAGAATTTTTCATTTAAAATGCTACTCAAACACGATACAACATGTAAGATTGTTTATCAAAACATTCATATTAATTCTATTACAATTAAATATCGTTCAAACGTAACAAAAATTGCAAAATAATTGTACCGAGATTGTACTTCAGATTTCATTTGCAAAAAGTTGTAAATTGCTGCGTTATGGAATAAATTCATGAAAACGATTTTGTCATCAGTTAATGGAAGATTTCGCTCGAAAAACGCGAACGAGTTTGTGAGTTGTGATGAGAGTAGAACGATGATAAGAGATGAACTTCATAACGTTATCAAGTAAATGTTATTAATAAAAAGAATTTGAATGTTTGTGAATTTTTTAACTACAAAAATAGAAATTTCCTAATTTGAGTCCCACCTCAGATCTTAATTCATCGAAACTTTCTTCAAAGAATCAGTCACTCGTTGCCATAAGCAACAGCAGCAGCGGCATCATCCCACACCATACAACGATTTATGTCAACATGAATTTATCACTTGTTGCATTAAAACCTTTTCGCGAAGTGAATGGAGATGAAAGATGGTAAAGATACAACGACTTGTGATCTGGTTTGAAGAATAAATCAGTCGTCAATTATCATAATATGTATGCGGGATATCAAACAATTTAAACTGAATTGATGTCAACAACATCATTACATCAAATTAAATTTCAATAAAAATGCTTGACAGCACAAGTCATTGCAGGTCAATTTGTAATGTGGCTAGGTAGTCGTTAAAAAATCAATAAATTTGTCAAGTATTTAAATGTTGACAAGTGATTGCTATTCTTCAACTTTACTTCAATTAATTTGTCTCGTCGGGCTCAACCCTGTGATCCTTTTGTCGTCTCATGTTTTGTGTCGTCAACAGCATCACCTCAAACATAAATTTCATTTATAAAAAGAAATAATAATTCTGACATCATCATTATCGATTCAATTTCATTTTTTTCTGTTCTTTCTCGACGTATCATCATCAATTTCATTTTTATTCTGTTGACTTACAAACTTTTTTTATTCTGGGAGTGAAAATTGAATAATAATTGAAACGTCTACACGCGAGACGACAAGATTGAAATTAAAGTCTTTTTCCAGACTTTATTTTTGGGAGTGGATGCATCGAAGTTCTTTTTATAATCAAATTGTTATGATTTTCAATTCGAAGTAATCTAATACGACGACGATGAAGATGTGTTCAGTTTCTTTCTCGTTTTTTTTGGGAATGTCTCGTCTAAACTTCAAATTCTGAGCGATTGAAACGAATCCACTTCAATTTGACATGAGATCGCGCTGGAAATTATGGAAATGAAGTCTTTCAGAGCCTACGAATTCAATCGATGACTTTTTTTACACTGTAATCTTGTCACAGGGATAATGGCAAAAAAAGAACAATGTCATGTGAAAGAATGAAGATGAGAAGAGAACAAACATCAATATAATCCTTTCAATTGACTGAAAGAGGATGGAGACGAAATCAAATCATCGAGTAAAGCAAATCGATGTTAAATTTAATCGACGACTCGCTTTCGACTACCAACAAAAGGTGTGGCAACCGTTAAAAAGCACACGACTTTGCTTTCTTCCTTCTCGTTCTCTTCTTTGCCTTTCATGAACATCATTCCGGTACATGAAACATTGAATGACGATAACATGATCCTATTTATTACCTACACAATCTTGTGTTTCTCCTTGGAGATTGAGACAATGTTTATGAGTTCCAAAGATCCATCAAGCGATAAAAGAAGACGATAAATTGCTTCAATTCAATAAACATTGGAAATATATAAAATGCGTCAACAGGAACGTAATGTAATGTCAAGAAAGATTGTCAAATATTTGATTCGTGATAAAAGTTCCTTTTCGGGTTATTGCTTCATGAAGCAACTATCTAGATATGCTGAAAAGTTAGTAAGTGAATAATAGAAATGTCATTGACCCAAATGAAATTAATTATCTGGAAATGCTTCTTCAATAACTTGAAGCAGTAGCGCGTAAAATATCAACAAACAATAAATCTCTTCAATTGAGACATCAACTTATAGTAAATAAGCTAAGAAGATTGCTATTAAATAAATATACAAATTGTTTCATGTCATTTGTCTATCTCATAATCATAAGTCAGCATTTTAATTATTACATTTTTTTATCAACATCGTTCAAATCTTGCCTAACTAGTGACTGTGATGATGATGATGATGAAGGCGAAGTTAAACATCTTAATCTTTAGTCATTGCTGATTGAAATGATAAACATTTCGAATATTTAGCAACGATACACAAGATGAAGAGAGAGAAATATTAAATTATGTAGTCTAATGGTTATTAATTATCAGTGTCAATCAAACAACGGTAGAGAAATTTTGAATAACAATTATCTCGTGCAAGTCAAATTGATAAATGCCACATACAACATAGGAGATAATTCTATAAAATTATTGACTGATCGATAATCGTGTGAAGAAAGCCGATGGGAATCGTGCAAATCTCAAACACTATTCAACTGAAATGCTCTCAAAGACTAAATGAATTAACACAGAGAAGGCTTTTATTTAGTTTTTTATTTCTTCAGCTTCAGTCAACCCAAATCCGCCTTAATCCGATCAATCTTTAGCTCAACAATGCTTCACATTCCTTCACTTCTTTTTTTATTACATATTGACAAATTGTGAAGCCGTAAAAATAAAATACATTGTAGATTAGAAAAGATATTTAAATATCCAATCTCATTTGACGTAACTTGTAATCATTTCCATGCTTTAAGTGACTTGATCGTGACCATCGTTCTTCATCTAATTTTATTTTTCGTTGTCTGTGTGGTCGGTCACCAAGCAGTGAAGAACAATTTGTTAAATCAACATTAAAGTCAATATTTAAAGGCTCAAGAAATCTTAGGAATGAGAGAGAAGAAATCATTAATTCTGATTCTTTACGTACTTTTGTGAGTATTTGTTTTCCGATGTTCCTTTGAATCGATTCGGTGGTCGTAAAATAATTTTTGACAAGTTTCTTGATGTTTTCTTTTTTTTTCTTCGTTTCTTCATAAAAATGTCTCAGAGAATTTCATTTCTAATTTCTTTTTTAGTCACGTGTAATCTGAATAAAGTTAAGTTAAGCGACAAATCATTCACGTAGCGCAACAGCACGAAGTCATAAATCAAAGGTTCTTTAAGTTTACTTTACCTGTCCTTAGGGCGCAAACTAATCTTATGGAATGTCAAAATCCATGCACTGCAAAGGTTCATCAACAGAATGACTTGCTTTCCTGCTATTGATGACTTGAAAGAAGGAAACAAATAAAACAAGAAACGAAGTGAAAAAACTTCTTAAATATTTAATTTTCACTTTCGTTCTCTTAATTCATTATTCGCCTTCCACTAATGGTACTATTAATTCTAGCGTATGCCTCGGAAACAAAACCATTGATTTATTACAATTTAAAACGAAATTTTGCTTTGAGGATTGTTGCGCTCTAAGAAATGTTTTATGTGTCTGAAGGTATTCATAAATTTATAGCTCAACTGTTTCTGTTCTTCTTGTTGTTCTTCTTCTTGTTTACTTTAGTTCCATTTCCTTCACAATTACGTTCTGATGCCCTCCGCAAAAGAGCCCTTAATTATTTCCTTTAATATTTCAATTTACTTTTTTTGGCCTTTATTGGGCTTCATTCATTCATCCTAATAATATTTCATTTCCACTTCCACACCAATCCAATCGTTTTCATTCCAATTTTTTCCTAAAACATTATGCTGCCAAACATAAATTAAAGGTTATTTCGAGAAATTAGTAATCTAGATTAGTTAATTTCTTTATTTTTTACATCAAGCATGTTTTCGTATAAGAAAGAAAGAATATTAAATATTGAAAGGGAATAATAACCTGTAAGCTATTCATGATGATAATAATTCCATTTTTTATATTTTTCTCAAGACATCAGGGACTCATTATATTCATAAACATTTTCCGTAAAAGTCTAAAAAGTCTCAGGTTGATGTTATTAATTTATGTAAATTTTTAAAATGTACACTGTCTTGGTTCATGCATTCAAATTCCATTTCTTTTATTCTATAAGAAAATTAAATTGAAAATTTCCAGAGCACAGTGCATAAAATATATTTTCAACATAACGTGGATAATCATAAATTATGCTGACTTTTTCTCGAAGATATTTTTCAATATCGAAAATAAGAATGTTTAACCACTGGAAGCAGCAGCGAAGCTGCTGCTTCCAAAGTGGCAATTGGCTTACTATTCTGTGCCTTTACTCATCTAAACCCCCCCAAAATGATATCTAGACCTAATACAATTCACCCGCACAACTTAATATTAAATCCGATGACACCAGGTGGCGCCCCTTATAGAAGCAACAGTTTTTTTTGGCATTTTCGTGGTATGACTGAAATGTTAATTATACATTTTAGACACATAGTATCTTAACGAAAAATGTTCATTAGGCAAAGCGCTATCCACCCACGCAAATTTTATTTCAATTCGATGACGCCACGGGGAGTTATACACATTTAAGTGTCTACAGCTGTCGGTTTACATGCTATGTCGGTGGACTTTTTTTACGAATGGGGGGGAAGAAAATTGTCTACCAATCCATCATAATTAAAAAAATCGGCGTGGGTGGCAAAAAGGTGAAAATTTGAAAATAAAATTTTGACTTCGATGTCACAAATGTCGAAGGCTCGTGTGCCGTCATTTCAAAAGTAATCGTTATGGAACCTTTACAGGTCGTTAGATCCATCCACGGCATTTTGAAATCGCTTTGTTTTTTTAAAAAATTCAATAAGGAAACGGAACGGCAGAGGTTACAGAAAGAGCTTAAAAAAATTTTCAATTGCTTATTGTGCCTCTTGCTTTAAACGTAGAGTGCTCAATTTCGGCAAAAAGAAGGACCCTCATTAGACCTTTAATGTGAGTGGGTCAAATATTTTTTAAAATCTTAAATGGATTTTTAATTAGTTGAACAATTTTTAACATAACTTTTCAACACAAGCGCCACCTTCTGGGCACTTTTTTCTCATTTCACACCAACACAATAATATAATACAATACAAAGCAAAATAAATAAAACATGTGAAGCAGTACAATTTGTATGGTTCACAATTTGCAGGTGGCTGTACATGATGATGCGCGTTCAATTCTCATACAT